ATGTATGTTTTGTTCTAAACTGCTGCCTCTGAAGCTAAATCGAGACGTGAATGAATAACACTGTACATTTTAGTTGCCTTGTGTATTTTTGTGCTGACACTAGTAAAGTTCTTATATGTTTATATGTATTATAATTGAAGTGCCCAAAACAAGCTAACCAGTCACGTGATAAAGAGCCGGGTGCACGTGAAGCTATGGCTTGATGTAGCTAACCCATTTAACAGTAAACCGTTACTATTATCATACCTTTTTCACTCATAAAAACAAAATAAAGTTTTTTTCAAACGACGTTGAGTCTGGATGACTTGCATTTTTCAGCTTTAACCTGTTCTCCACACCTAGTTAGCCAAGTTAGCATCGGTTACGTACGCATTAAAAAAAAAAAAAACATGATGTATGTCTACTGAACGTTTACCTTTATTCTGTGCGACTTAACAAGATGCATGTTCAGCGCAGGTGTGTTGGGGAGAATCTTGCCACATCCCTCCACCGTGCAGAGGATGTTCGTCCTCACTTCTTTGGTCAGCTCCGTGATGGTCGGTTTTATGATTTCCTGACACTGCGGCAGCGACTCTTTGTGACCGTTCAGAGAGTCTGTCGTCGTGTTTTTGTTATTACTCGTGATCGTTGCAGAGGCGGCCATGTTTCTGTGTTGACGGCCCTTTTTCGGTTTGGCTGAAAGCCTCAGAAACAGCAGCATTGAATGAACGAGAGGGCAGCATAGCTACCCTCARCTCTGCCTGAAAGGACTCTTCTTCTGCTGTTTTGGAATTTAACGGCAGTTTGTATCTTTTAAGTTCTGTTATCGCCCCCTTCTGGTTTTTCCCATGCACTACAGTCTTTAAGYGCCTTAAAGAACTCAAGCATCACAAGTTTGAGAATTACTGTCTTTAATTCAATTAAATTCAAAAATACTTTATTGATCTAAGAGGGAAATTAGGTACCAGGTTAGGTTTTATTATCCAAACTGAAATTAGTTCTAGTTGGAGTGGGTGCAGTGCAGAAAATGAACACTAAAAAATCATTTCCAGAACTCCACCAAAAAAAAAAAAAAAAAAAAAGTTTTATTGCCTTAAAAAAATGAAAGGTGATCCCCCTTCTGTGTCTCCTGATCTCATCATCTATGTTCTGACATGTTCCTGTCATATTTCCTACATGTCCTATTGTTATTTTTTGACACTGAATACAACGGCAAGTGGGATGCTTACTCAAAAATAGCAGGCTAATCAGGTTACAGTGTCCAATCCTTAATCTGCTCAATTATTTCTGCTCTCCTATGGGATTTTCTGTTCTTTATCACGTTTTTTTTTTTTATCTTAGGGACCATCTTATTGCACCTCTGCAGCTGTCATTGTTTTCTTGTCTGACAGTTGTGCTTTTCCCAATTAWATATGGTTATTTTTTGTAACGTCTATTTTCTTCGTTGTCCTTTGCCATATTCACAAGTTCCTCACATTTTAACCTGAGCTACATCTGTATGAAGCCATAACTTGTATACTGCAGATGATTATAGGCTGATTTAAAAATAAATGTGCAGATACAGAATCATGAAATGAGTTTTTAATAGTTAAGTAGTTTGTAATGTACCAAGAAATTAGACATTTTCAAAGTGATGGTTAAAGTGGACAGTATATTTGTCCTATTTATATTGTATACAAGTTTGAGTACAGCTTATGAAAATATGAAAGTATTCTTCCTGAAATTTTTTGTTTTACCACTTTGAAAAAAATCTGTCTATTCTGTTGATATCTTATTTCTGTACGTTCTTATTTTATGACCAAAAAAAAAAATAAATAAAATAACTGTAGTGGAATGACACATTTTGTTTGGAGTATGATACAGTAAAATGCAACAAGTATGAAGTGGTTTATTTAAGAGGACCTGACATCCTGAGCGTTAATTCAATAACATATAAAGATTACTAAATAATTTTCATTAGATCCTAACAAAATATTTGAACATTTTATTATCCAGTAAACATCAATTCATAACCAATGTTTTAGACTTTTATAACAAAAAGTGTCAAAAATCAAAGATTCACTTCACATCATACAGTTTGGTTAAAATCCATGCTAAATCATATTTAAAGCATTAATGTTTAAACTCATTTAACTCATTTAAAATAACATACAGAAAACACAAAATAAGAAATTTCAGATATACCTCAAAAAAAAAAAAAACTTTGAGAGGCTTATTGATCTACAAAAGCATATTCAGAAACCAGACACCACAGAAAATTATTTACAAAAAAACACAAAATAAAAATTGATAAAGTGTCTGAATAAAACATTAATATGTTCAGAAAAGCCAAGATCTGTCTAACGTTTCCAATCAGTAACTTGATCACTGATAAAATACATTTCACTATTGTTGACTGGAAAATGTCAGAAACAGGAGCAGAGAGCATCGCTGGAGTCGGAGGTCAGTCATCGATCAGTTCTGTGTTTGTCGAGTTTGTGAGGCGGCGCCAGGAGCGTTGTCGGTGATCACGAAATAATTCCTTCCTTTTGAAGGAATAGACGACAGCAGGGGTGTGACAGGAGTTGAGGCGATTCCTAAAACAAACCAACATAAACAAGTTAAACTAACTATTAAAAATCATAAGGTAGTAAAAAGTAAAACAACACAATCATTACAATAATCTTTACATGCACTACTTGACATACAAAAGCTAAGCAATGAAGAATACATGAAGAATAAAAGATGATGATAGTGCGCCCTCTTGTGGACATTTTTGGAGCTGCCATTAATGACTTCATTGTTAAGATAGTGTTTTTCATTGTAGTTATTAAACTCTCAGTACCTGTAGAAGCACAGTGTTTCAGTGATTCCAGGAGGTTGGTGCTTGTAAATTTAACAACACATCTGAAAGGTTCCTCCCTCTCCATCATGGTCTCATTGGTGGGGTCTCTAAACTTAGTTTCCAGCTGAAGAAAGATTAATATGAAACATAACTCAGACAAAAACAAAAGGGTGACATTCTGCGTCTTAAAGGAAAAAAAAAAAACATTTACTTCAACTATAAAACAAAGCCTGTGAAAATACTGTTGGTACAGCTTTTTGGCATCCACCGTGTCAGCCCACCTTATACACAGCTGACTGCAGCTCGGGTAACTTCTCACCCCCGAAGGCTTCACCTGCCAGCTGACACCTGTTTGCTGAAGCCTCAGCTTGTTCTTTCTCTATGTGCAAGTCTATGTAAACAAAACAAAACAAAACAGTACGTCATAATCCAGAACTGATCCAAACACTTTGAGAAGATGCAGGTTTTTTACAGAACCTACTTGCAAGAGCTTTATCATTCTCTGACAGACAGCTGGGATATTTTGAGGGAAACACCTAAAGAAAAACAAACAAAAACATGCTAAATGCCAAGAAAAATATAAAAAAAGCAAATAAACTTCCAGTAAACTTGAACAGTTGACAGGTTTAATGTTTATCTCTGAGCCACACATTTGAAAGTGAAGACAGTGCGATAAAGTGAGAAATTGTTGGGAATAAAAATCTTTATTTTTATTAGTAGAGAGTAAAATAATCTGGAGAAACTTACTTGTTGATACTGCCTCATCACCAGGTCCCTGATGGCAGTCAGCTTCCGTCCACTGAGGTTAGCATCCTTAATTGCTTGGTGTCGAGTGGAAAGAGTCAATGCCTGCAACAAAAACACCGCTCCGTTAGAAAAATAACCCACCGAACAGCCACACGGAATCTTTAGGGGAAAAAAAAAAATCACTTTTCCTCACCTGCAACAACAGAGGCTTCCGCTTTGAAGACACACTGCTCACAAACACGTAAGGCGACTGAAGCTGATGAACAACATAMGTTGGTTTCAGGTGGTTGATCCGAGAGAAGCCGTCCCCCCACGCGATCCGAATCCAAACAGATTCATCCGTGTGCCGCTTTATTTTCACCGACACCTTCGATCCACCGGAAAAGTCAGAATTTCAACTAAGTGTGTCCCATTAAACACAAACGTGCTCATGATGCAGGTGCAAAACTAAAACARAAGGATTGYTCGGCTTACGTTTGATATCAGCTCATGGAGGTGGGATTTAAATTGCTCCCTGAACATCATCAGCTCCACAGATTGAGCATCATCTAGATTAGGGAAATAACAAACAGACATAAAGAAATGCACGGATGATGCAGATGCTGCTAAATGATGTGCTCTGGTTCAATTTATTTTAAAAAATGACAGCAAATCTTAAAATTTACAAAGAATATTTGCAATTTTTTTGTTCTTTTATCYCAAGTGACATAAACTCCAGCTGATTAATTAGAATAGAATAAAGATAACCTTTATTGTCCCACCGAGGGGAAATGCAGGTGTCACAGCAGCATTTGTACAGCGGTTCACACACTAGTTACTTGGTTAATTGTCGTTAATCTTAATCGACTAATAAAATGTTTCTAACAGCAGCTGTGGTGTTTGATAGCTGTTTTTGAGGTTTATTGTTAAAAGAAGCAGTTTTCTTTTGACATACCTTCAGGGTCTAAGAGCTGGAGGGTGTACCACATTCCCTGGTCTGGATTCTCAATGACATCTATAAAATAAAAAGTTACACAAGACCTGTATGTACTATGATGCTGCAAGATGTAAAACTTAACGATTTTTCTTCTTTTTTTATTTTCTTAATAACGATACCTTCTTGCCATTTTCTACCACCCTTTGCAAACATAATGGGTCACTTTTCCAGCACTCTTGTGTATACACTCCTGATCAAAATCTTAAGACCAGTCAAAAAAGTGCAAGAATTTGCATTTTGCACTATTGGATCTTAAGAAGGTTCTAAGTAGAGCTTCACAATGTTAAAAGAAGAAATCAGTGCAAGAGACAAGAACTTTTGAGCAGGGAACTGTCTGAAAACTGCATTTACACTCAAACATGTTTTTTTTCAGCTGATCAAAAGTTGAAGACCATAGCTCAAAAAAACCCGAAAACCCACCAGGAACGTTGCTCCAAGTGTTGAAGATGGCTTCACGAAGGGCATCCACTATCTGGAACCGATGTCCATTTTTGTAAACTTCCCTTG